AAAGGTCTGAAAGAAACCAAGAATTATTTCGTAAATATCAAACAGATCTAAGTGAGCACGCCACTGTTGAGTTATCAACTGTTTGAAGTAAATAAAAGTCTGAAAGACTTGAATTATTTCAGAACTTTTATTAAACAGTCGAAAGGCGCCCCTATGTCATCAAAGGTTAAAAGTAAGTAAAGCTCTGAAAAAGACTTAGAATTATGCTATTACGAACCTGGAGGAACCGATAACTCTGTTTAACAATCGAGGTGCCTTCTGAACATTGAGTATTCCTTAACCATTTTCTTATAATGTCTTTACTCCTTTTTCGATCTCTCAGCGTATTTCCTGTAATTCTTCTCAGTACTCTCATTTCTGCCGTTTCCAGTAGTCTTTGCATTGTGGCTGTGTCGGGTCTTGTTTCTGAGGCATATGTCATTATTGGTCTTACACTGGCTTTATAAATTCTTGACTTCATCTCAGTGTTAATGTGTCTGTTTCGCCATATAGTGTTATTAAGGCATCCTGCTAGTCTATTTGCTTTTTGAACTTGATCTCTCACTTCTTTGTCCAGGTCTTCATGGCTAGACAGTGTAATTCCAGGTATTTTATTTCCATTACTTTTTCAATACTGATGCCATCAATTTCTATTTTACATCTGGTTGGTTCTTTGCTGACTACTATAGTTTTAGTTTTCTGAGATGAGATTGTCATATTAATTTTTTGCTCTTATGTTAAATCTGTGGACCAGTCTTTGCAGACTATCTTCATCTTGGCTATCAATATTTTTATTTTTTTTGTTTCCCATTCTGTATCATCTTCCTTTGTTAACGCTTTTGATGATTTCATCCATGATCAAATTAAAGAGCATGGGCTCAATGAATCCCTGTCTTATCCGCTGCTATTTCTATAGGTTCTGTAAATTGTCCATCTATTCTGACTTCCATTTTGTTGTTTTGGTAGATGTTTTCGATAGTTTTTATAATATTTAGGAGAACTTCTCTATTATACAGAAGATGGATTACATCTTTGAGTCTTACTCTGTCAAACGCTTTCTTTAGGTCAATCAGACACAGAAATGCTGGTCTATTATACTCTAGTGATTTCTCAGTAATTTGCTTTATAACGAATATTGCATCTGTACACGATCTTCCACTACGAAAACCCTGTTGTTCATCTGCTAAACTTATCCTCTGATTTATTAGCACTTGTAAAATTTTAGTTGTAAGTTTTAGCGTAGTATTTAACAAGTTTATACCTCTGTAGTTTTCTGGCTGTTTTTTATCTCCTTTTTTGAATAGTAGAATTAGTTCGCTCGTTCTCCATTCTTTCGGTATTTTATAATTTTAATAATTAATGTTGTTAATTGTTCTGTCATTGCTGCTCCACAATTATTCAATAATTTGTTTGGTATCCCGTCTTACCTGCTGCTTTTCTGTTCTTCCGGTTTTCAAGTATTTTCCGAAATTCAGATATATTTATATTAAGTTCTTAATTTGTGGTAATTTCCGGTGTTTCCGGTTCTGGCCTCGTTTGTTCTTCCTTTGCATAGAGCTTTTTTAGTCAATCCACGTATTCTTTTCTATGTGTCTTGGTTCTATTAGTTCCTTTACCTAAGTTCTTTGACCTCTAATAAAGCGTTCCCAGTGATCATTTTTTATTTTTCTTACAAGTGCATGTATTTCAGGTATGCTTTTTTTTCTTTACATTTTTCCTTCACTTTTGTACAAAACCATAGAGTTCTTCACCTTAAGAACGATTTATATTTATTATTATTTCTTTCACCAAGAACTTCCTTGGCTGAGGCTAAGATATTAGTCTTAATTTTTGCCCAGTTTTCTTCGACTCCATCACTTTCTGTGATATATATTCTTTTTTGGAATAGGTGTCTTGTGGAGTCATCCTGTAAGCTTTTGACTTTTGTCTTTTTGGTGTATTCTGATGTTTTGTTATCACATATATGTATTTCATTCGGATTTTGCACAATACCAATTTATGATCGTTTCCTATTTCTGCTGATGTTAGTGCTCTTACATCCAAGATTTAAGAGGGCTGTAACTCTCTATTTGACAGAATATAGTTTATCATAGATCTTTGTCCTCTTCTGTTTTCAAAAGTGTATTTGTATTGTTCTTTCTGAGGTAAAAATGTATTATTAATACGTATTTCATTTACGCTGTAGAGGTCCGTCAGAAGGTATCTGTTTTCAATTCTGATATTTTCATGATATCCCTGTTTTATTCCTGGGACTATATCATTGCCAACACGGGCATTAAAATCACCCATAATGATTATATATTTTAGATTTGGGGTCTCGTTTATTACATTTACTATTCTTTCAAAGGTATATTTACATTCCTATACTTGGTGTAAAATTTTTCGGCTAACAGGGCGATTCCTTCTTTGGCTCTGGTTTCTTTCGCAACATCACTGTAAAATCACCTTTGATTTTGTGGTTAATAATTGAAGACTAGTAGAATTTGTCCATGATTCAATATTCTACAGCACTTTCTGTAGACGGACCTGGAGATTTTTAATATTTTTTTTTTATTTATTTATCATTCAACCTCATAGGGTCATTGCGTTGTACAATTTAAAGTTTTACAATTTATTTAGTACATTTATGGAATATAAGTATGATGTCAAATTTTATATCAGTTCCGTCACTTAATATTACCTGTAAGGTATCTTGTAATTTATATTGAAGTCTCTCCATGCAATATAAAGGACACTCCAGTAAAATATGGCGAACACTGAGCACAATATTACATACGTAGCACTGTGGTTTTAATTCACTCTTCAGTAGACGTTTATGGGTGATGGCGGTGTGGCCTATTCTTAGACGAGATAGGATGGTTTGATGTATACGCTTATTTGGGGTTGATTTCCAAGGTAATATAGAATGTTTTATTTCTCGTAGTTTGGATGTTGACTGATTCCACTTGGTCTGCCAATCATTGATTATTAAGTTCTTGATTATAGGTTTTATATCTAGATGTGGAATTCTTTTGATTTCTACAGCTTCCGGACTCGAGATTGCTAGTTTTGCCAAGGAATCTACTTCTTCATTACCAGCAATTCCAATTCCGATATGGGAAGGAATCCATACAAAGTTGACATTTATGTTCATAGTTTGCAGTTGGCTTAATGCTGATTTAATAAGCAGTAGACTTGGATGGCTAGGATATAAGTCGGCAATTACAGAACTTAGAGAATCTGTAATAATGACAGGGTTTTTGATACTATTTTCTACCACAAAATTTATTGCATTGGGAATAACGGTTAACTCGGCTGTGTAAATGGATGTTAATTTAGGGAGTTTCAATATTGTTTTATTTTTATTAGACATGTGCTGCTCCCACTATATCTATAGCAGTGGTCGCCAACCTGTCGATCGCGAGCTACCGGTAGCTCGCGGAGGCAATTCTGGTAGCTCTCACAACGATTTTAATTTAAAAAATACAAACTGCAAAAATCAGAGAAGCTTCCGAAAATTCCACAAAAAAATCTAATTGTCATAATATTAAACATAAACAGCGGCAACGTTGCGGTGAGCGATCTGCCCCTGACGCCGTCAAGCTAGAATCGGCTATTTATAGAACCGACCAGCCGGACCAGCGCGTTAGTGTTCGAGAACGATCTGGATTGCTTTGAACGGGATAAATACGCACGGCGCGGCGACATTGCGCTTAGTTTAAAACTGAACGCGTAACCAACGTCCAGCGGTTGGGTTAGTAGAGAACAACAAAAATAATATTATGGCAAGCAGTTGTAAGAAGGTAAAGACATACCACTTTCATTCGGAATGGGAAGAACAATACTTTTTTACAGAAGTTAAAGATAAAAATGTGTGTTTGTTATGTAATACTTCGGTCTCCGTTGCTAAAAAAGGAAATATTGAGAGACATCATAAAACTGTACATTCTAATTTTGAAAAATCATTCCCACTACATTCTGCCGCCAGAAAGGAGAAACTGAAACAGTTAAAAAAACAGTTAATTGGACAACAATCAATATTTTTAAGAACAGTCGACAAAAATAAGGCTGCAACTGAAGCATCGTACCGTGTGTCCCAGATAATTGCACAAAAAAAGAAACCTTATGAAGACAGGGAAATGATAAAACAGGCGTTTTTAGAAGCTGCTGATTCGTTATTTGCCAACTTTAGAAATAAAGACGAGATAGTTTCAGCTATAAAATCTATGCAAATTTCTGCTAATACAGTGATGAGACGTGTAGAAGTAATGAGCAATGATATTTTTTTACAGTTAAGAACTGACTTAGATAACTGTGTTTATTTTTCACTTCAACTGGATGAATCAACAGATGTCGTTGACACTGCCCAGATAGCCGTGTTCGTCAGGATGGTTTTTAGTGATTTTACGATTAAAGAAGATCTTTTGAAGTTCATTCCACTGAAAGGACACACTACTGGACAGGAGTTGTTTTCTCATTTAAAAAAATATTATTTCTTCCGAGAAAATTTCAATATCGAAAATGGTAGGCAAAATTAACAAAGTAGCTCAACACCTTGAAGAGGTTGGCGACTACTGTTCTATAGTTTTAGAGGCATTGGTATAATAATATTATGGTTACTGTATGTTATGTCTTGAGTTCTTGGAGGACATATTTATAACATTTTGTTTTCTCTATATAAGCTCTTATGCATTTTATGCATATATTTATTATTATTGTGTTCGACAACTACGTATGTAGACCAATAATTTTTATAGCATATTGCATAGTATTACCCAACCGCTACTTAATAAATATTTTTTAATTGTTTTATAAATTTTTGGAATTCTATTTGACGTAGGTACGCCGACGACAAATTGTAAACTTTCTCAAATTTCTGGAATTTCGCGATTGCCTACTTATTTATACAATTCAACAACTAAAACCAGAAACCAAAATCTAAACGTGCATATTAAGTATTTGTTTATTCATGCAAACGAAAAACAATACCAATTCTTTGAGTAGTCTACTAGAAGCTGTACGTATAGAAACTCATATCTTGTCGTGTATGTAATGTATCTCGTTATATAATGACCGTGAAAAGTGTGTTTGATTATTAAAAGAACGTGAAAACTGGTTTTTTGTGTAATTAGTGCGTTTTTGTTTTAGAATAAAAGACTAGGAAGTGATTGTTGTGGAAGGCAATTTATTAGTACAACTTGTAAATATGTAAGTATTTTTAAAATACAGATAACATAATTGTTGATCAACTACAGTTAATTTTACCTCAAAAGAACTACCAATATTGTCTTATTTAAATTATTATTGTTCTCTATATTCTTGCAAAACAAATAAACTCTCTTGTTTGTTTATATAAAATATGTTCTTCTTTTTCGTGTTCATTTCATCTGCTAGTTGTTTTTATAGATATTGCTATTGCGTCACTTTGTCCTATAGTTTTATTCTTTTTTTTTAATCACATCACGATTTACTTCACAAATGCGCATCATATCTCTAACATTTGCATTACGTATGGCGGAATTTTAAGTTTTTTTCTTCTACTCCATTGGACTTCCCGTTACGTTGGGATCAACCGTTTATTATCTTCATCATTGAATTAACAATATAAATAAAAGAGTCATTTTTTTATCTGACGATATATCGCTCTATTTATTATTTTATTATAAAATTATTTTCAGAGATAATCGGGAAAAATGTTTCATTTGTAGCATTTAATATGAGTGCAAAACTATTGTAACTAAAAATTTAATTTTCATGGTATAATTCCCAAGTTAATATACTATAATCTTCGAGTATAACGCTTATCGTTATTGTGCAAGACTATCACATTAGAGATATGACAGTCTTACATCTAATTGCCATACGCGGCGATAAATTTGGGTATCTTATATCAAAATGTGATAGTATTACACCTACAACATTTATGAATACCGACAAAAATGCAAGAGTTTAATGAGATATTGCAACCAGTAAATGTAGAACATGGTGAGTACACTAGTGAAATGTTGAATAAACAGCAAACATACCAAGAGAAGTCACTAGAAGACAATATTGTAGATCATGATATCGCAGTCAAATGAAGATTCGTTTTATACATCATCGGACGAAGACGAGACTTGGACACCTAACGAAACAACACAAGCTGCAAAAGTGAGCACGAAGAAATCACAAGAATTAGGTAACGAAAAACGAAAATGTAGAAAAAGACCAAGAATACCCAAAACATGGAAACGAAATATTGTTCTGAAACTAATTTCATTGTGCATTGTACATTAATTACTATTAAACTGGGAATAAGCCACAATAAAGATAAAAATACGTTTAATTGACGTTTCAATTTCCACTTCGGAAATGTCTTCGAGAACGATTTCCGAAGTGGAAATTGAAACGTCAATAAACGTATTTTTATCTTTAATTGTGGCTTATTCCCAGTTTAATAGTAATTAATGAAAACGAAATATAAAAAAAGTAAGTAAATCAAGGTCATACATTTCTACATCTGGAAAGCTTGTAGAAATAAAAAATAATAAAATTAGGTTGTAATGAAAAGTGTATATACTCTCGGAATTAGTAACATGATGTCAAGCACTGCTCAGAAGAACGTGTCAGGTGAAGGTATTTTGGAACCTGAGAAAAGGGGAACCCATAACAAGCAAAAGAGGATTTCCAGAGAAATTCAACAAAATATCAGACAACACATTGAGTCTATACCCTCAGTAGAATCACATCATTTAAGGGCTCAGACAAAAAAGACAATTTGAATTTAATTAGCACTTTATATAAACCCTATGTGGAAATGTGCAACAAATTAGGAAAACCTGTTATAAAATATTTTCATTATGCCAAAATTTTTAACTATGAATATAATATAGACTTGTTTAGTTAAAAAAAAACCAATGCGGACTATGTGAAACATATAAAAATTCTTCGATAATGAAAAAAATGACATGCAACAAAGCTATGAAGAGCATCTTCGTAACAAAACAATTGCATGAGAAGAAAAAAAACGAGATACTGCTCAGCAAGAAAACCGAATCTTATGGTGGGAGTGTACGATATGCAAGCAGTTTTACCTACTCCGTCCTCTTTGGTAAGTGACTTTTATTATAAAAGTAAACTTGCAACTATTAACTTTACTATTTACTTATAATATTCCAAGTCAAATCGGCTATTGTTATGTGTGGAATGAAACAATTGGAAAGCGAGGAGCTAACGAGATTGGCAGTTTCTTAATAAACTTTTTAAAGAACAATGACACTTACACTGATATCATATTTTATTCAGATAATTGCTGCGGACAAAATAAAAATAAATTTATAGCAGCAACACACCTTTATTTAGTCAGTACTTTGGAGAATATAAATACCATCTCCCACAAATATTTAATTGCTGGTCATACCCAGATTGAGGGTGACAGCATGCATTCAGCAATAGAACGAGAAAAAATAGAATGTTAAAGGCAAATAACATTTATATACCTGCACAATGGATACCAATTATTGCTCAAAAAAAGAGGGATACCCTATTTAGTAAACGAACTCCAACAAAATGAAACAATTTACAAAACAATATTAATAATGAGAAGGTAATATGGAGTAATATTAAAGTGCTGCAGTGTAGAAAAGATTCACCACGTTCTATATTTTACAAAACAAGCTTTGAATCGGACACGTTTAAAGAAATCAGACGAATATCTGAATGCAGCATAAGAGATCTAGTTATTGACAATGCCTACAATGAACCCCTGGGTATAAGTAAAAAGAAAAAAGATGGGTTACTATCTCTATGTCACAAAAATTTAACAAAAAAAGAATACCACGACTTTTACAAATCACTCCCAGTTTCCACCAGTGCAAGTAATGACTCAGATGTTGAATAACTCATGAAGCAAAGGCTTAGGTTATAAATGAAACACAATTTGTACTTGTATATTCATAATCTTATGTTAATGGTTTTATTTAATAATTATGTTTTGTTCGAAAAATAATGATTATGAGTTTTATTATCATTAAATTAGGATCATATATGCCAAAATACGTATTATTATTCCAGTGCAAGACTATCTTAACTTCAAATATATTATTACCAGTGTATTATATTATTATTTTAGAAACATTAACTGAAACGAGTCAATCTAAATGTGTTGTTTTAATTCACAATACCATTCTAACAATAAGATTGATGTAAAAAAAAGATAAAAATTTGAGCCAAACTAAAACATTCATTATCTTCACATTAACTTTTTTGAGTTGCGATAGTATTGCACTCATAGTGCGATATGTAGGCAACGTTGAAAATTCTACACCAGGCTTCGGATATTGCGCAGTCGCAAATTTAGTCTTCTTTCAGGTGTCGATAACTTTGACGATATAACCATTAAAGAGGATTTAATAATAGAATAAAGAACATCGGGGAGCAACTAGATCCACAGAAACTATGGAATGAATTTAAAACCAAGTTAACAAAATTTCCACAATGGTTATAAAAGTAACTTAATCAATAAAAAGAAATGGATGACAGAAGATATCTTATTTAATGGATGAGAGAGAGGTGCGAAGAAATGGAGGATGTAATATCTAGGCACGACTTTATGTGCACAAAAAAGTAAAAGAAATAGGCAACATATTATTTAAAAAAAAAACGAGTTCCCCTATACTTGTTGACAATAACAAGAAGGTTATTGTAGATGAGAACGTAATAAGAAATGAATGGCAACTGTATATATCAGAATTGTTTGCAGATGACAGAAATAATATTACCGAATCCTACCAAAATTGTACTGACTGCTCAGAAATTATGAAATCAGACTTAGAACACTCTTTAAAAAATGCCAAATTTAGACAAGCTTGTGGTCCAGATGACACAAAAAATGAGTTGCTGAAGGTAATACCTAAAGATAACATAAACCTACTAGTAAAACTATTTAATGCAATATATAACACTGTACTATATAACACTGTACTATAGTATCTCTCTTAGCATATCTAAAAAATACAATGCTAGAAAATGCTCAAAATATTGATTAATTAGCCTAATATGTCACACTCTTAAGATTTTTTTACATCACATCACATCAGAATCATCTGACACATCAGAATTAGACTCAAAATATGAAAAAGATCTCGAAGGGTCCAATTTGGTTTTAGAAATGCTATGGGAACTAGGGAGGCACTTTTGCTCTAAATATCCTATTACAAAAATGCCGTAATAAAAAAAGATGTATTTATATGCTTCGTGGACTTCGTGAAAGCATTTTCGAAAAAAACGCTGGAATATGGCGTAGATACACAGTTGATAAATTTAACAAAACTAAGTCTCTAAAAAGTTTAATGTAGAGTACGAATTCAGGGGGAACTGTCTGAACCTTTTAAAACAAATAACGGGCAATAAAAATAAATAATAACTCTGGAAAAAGTAATACGTATGTCACAAATCACTATCATTATTTCAATATATAATAAATCAGTGCAAACCCTTGCCTATGCTGATGATATTAATATTGTTGGGAGAACGAAAAACGATGTAAGAGTATGTAGCATTAAAAAAATCAGCTACAAAAATGGGTTTAACAATAAATACCAACAAAACGAAATATATGAAAATAAGCAAGCAAATCCTACGACCACTTGTTATAGCAAACTACATCATCGAACATACAATACATCGAACCACAATAGAACTAGTTAGTTACTGCAACCTACAATATAGAGAAAAAGCAGTTTGACCAGATGACGCGGCACTGAATACTTTTAACTATTAAAAAAAAGCATAACGAATCATTTTGCATATATGTGAATTCTTAGTAAATTAAGTTCAGTAACAAACAAGGAAGTGAGAGTAAGGTTAAAATGTTCAACACAAAAACGATCATCCAATACGAACGATATCTCAATCCCAGTTCCTAATATGATTAGAAGAAGAAGTACAATAGAGTTATCAAAAGACAAAGAGAATGATGATGAGGTGTTTCATTCCGTTTATTTACATTTTCAGTGTTTTCTTCTTTTAACTGTAACTTTCCCTTGTACTTTTCTCGTATACGTCTCTTTATCTTCCGCTTTTCTGGATGTATAAAGTGATATTAGTTAATTAATTAAGATTTCTATTCCCCTTTTATTCCTATTTTGGAATGGTGTTCACTTTACTCGTATATACTCCTCTTCCATATTTTTCTTATAAGACACAGTATCATTTAAATTAAGTTGTAT